ATCCAAGCCTGTAAGACAAACAGGCTTGTTCTTTGTATGAATTATAAGGTTTCCTTATTAGTGCACCAATTTCTAATGTCCAAACGCTTTATGTTATATGGCCTTTACCAGGCCTCTGTGGAAGTCTGGTGTGCCTTCAGATGTTGCTAGGGGTTCCTTGAGGGGAGAGTAGTTGCAAATTGATCTGCCTACAATGACCACATATGTGTGTGGATCACTGAAATTGTCACTGCCTGTGTTTCTTTTTTGGCCACTATTAAAATTCTACAATCTACTGATCACACTGAGTTTGGTGAGCTGCAGAAATATAATTATTTGTGGGGGTTCCCTGAGACCTGAAAGTTATTTCAAGGGTTCCTTCATTGCAAAAAGGCTGAGAAAGGCTGTGTTAAATTGTCAAAATCTAGGAAGTTCACCATCAATGGGTTGTGAGAAAAGTTATCGTTCCCTTTAAACACACCTTTGTTTTACAATACCATTTTTAAAAAATCATAGTAATGACAGAAATTAAAGATGTGGACACAAAATCATTTAAATTACTTTTTAATTACAGCTGGTCTACAACAATATAAATTAAAACTATTCAACCCTTTATGTCTCAAGGATCATGATGCCACTAACCAAATTTAATATAATGGATTGGAAAATCATAGCATTTTATTTTCTGGATCTGTCGTAGAAAGTCACAAGGATACGTGACAGTGTCTGGACACCAGAGATAGTTTTTTTTACATGGCTGGATTTTGTACTACACCATGACACTAATCAAAACACAGACTCTAGAAAATATGTTACTTTATGTATTAAGTGCTTTGTTGCATTCCAAAACATCGTTTTCCTGGCAAACATCCCATTGAAACTTAACACACAACAATTCTATATATTTGCCTTTCTTGATTTTTTTTAGAAGGCAACTGAACTAAAGTTGTTAGAACAGACAGGTAATATTTCTGGGTTTCTGCATGCAGCACTATAAATTGGGCATAAATAAACATGTCTATTGTACATTAAAAAGACCTTGTCATCAACTTTAAAAACTGCAGATATGCGCACAAAAAAATCAAGTATTTTGAATGCTTACTTGCAGTGCATCCTTTCCATAAATTATTTTTTTATTGACTTGCAATGTGATTTAAACTGGGTGGAAAATATCACTAGTTTGTTCCCTTGCAAAACCCCCTCTCTTTTTGCATGTAATAGCCCTCTCCTCTTCTGGAGTGCCTAATTACTCTTCGTTTCTCCACCCTAGCCCTCACCTCCTCACACAACCTTTTATGCAGGTGCCTGGGGAGAAGCAAAGGGGAATATTATAGAGTGTCACTTGAGTAACAGCTTTGAGTATACAGGGGCTGCTGATATTACATCCAAAATGACAAAGGGCTTTTGGATGTCTACAAAAGGAAGGATATTACAGGTAAGTAACATGCATAAAATATGTTAAAGGCACATCAAATCTTATAGGACGATTGTAGTTAAAATGAATGGGCTGCTGACCGGGTCGAAAAGTATGCCACTCATACTTTATGGAGAAGGAAGTGATGTCAAAAAAGCCTGTTCTTTCTGTAAACTATATAGAACAGATACAAAATATGTGGGAGTATAATACCTTGGCAGAGGAAGCCAAGATGTCTTAACACCACACAACCAATGGATGCCATTAATTTCTCCTGATTACATTTTAAAGGATTACAACTCCCTTGCTAAATATTCTGATAAATCCCAATAATACTCTTAAGCATTCATAAAAATTGATCTTGAAAATCTGTTTCTCTTGTTATATGTACTGTCTAGAATAGGTAACCCGCAGAACAGTGAATTTATCAAAACTGGAGCAGACAAAATCTGGAGCAACTGTGCATGGCAACCAATCAGCGCCTTTCTCCCATTTTCAAATCTTAACTGAACAAACTGATGAGAGAAGATGATTGGTTATCATGCACAACTTTTGTCTGCTCCAGTTTTTATAAATTTGCATCATTTTGCCTGTATATCTCTTAACTAGCTCATAACTACTACATAAAACATTGCTCATATAGAAAGGTTATTGTTAAAAAAATATAAATCCATTCTGAATTTTCCTGTTTAAGAAACAGACTCACATCTACTAGTTTTATATAGCGTGAGAACGGAGAAAATGTTGCTGACATTATTAATGAAGCTATGTTCCTACACATTACAATTAGTAACGATGGACACTCCCAACTGTACAAAGACATGCTGATGATTTGGCTGCCGTTTAAATCGGTCCGTGTGTGTGTATGCATGCATGCATGTGAGGGACCTTAATTGTAAGCTCTTTGTGGGTATTAACTGATGTGAATGGACAGTATGTAAAGACAATGTAAATGGACAGCACCATATAAATGTGCATTATAATAATAATTATGCAAAGTTTGTGAAAAGGACACCGCTCACATTCATATGACCAAACTCATCAGTCCCATCCAGAGGCATGCCACGGCTGTCACCAGTAATCCAATGTAAAGCTGCACTCAACAGCCAGAACCTCGATGTAGAAAAGTTTATTCCCAGGACTCTACAATGTTACAAGCATGACAAGATCCACAGGTTCTGACATGTTTTGCCAAAAAGAGACTCTATGATTAAGCTTTTTTGGCAAAACATGTCAGAGCCTGTGGATCTTGTCATGCTTGTAATATTGTAGATTCCTGGGAATAAACTTTTTTACATCGAGGTCCTGGCTGTTGAGTGCAGCTTTACATACATTGGATTAGTAATAATTGTGCTTTACAATGCTATTACATAGGGATTTACATAATAACTATAAAATAGCCTTGTAATAGGTTTAGCAGGGTCCATATTGAGAAAATATATTTGATGTCTAATATGTCAGTTTCTACATTGCTTCTGTGTTTACATTATCACTTTGCTCTCTTAAAAATTACATTTTGCAGCTTTTAAGAACTTCACCACATCTAAGCAATGCTATATAAAACTGTATAAATTTCACCCTACCTTTAAACAAACTCTTTAAAAGTCCATAAAATATTCCTTTACAGTTATAAGATAAGCATCAACATTTGGGGAATAAACTGGGCGATCTGTTCATTACACTTACCCAGCATATAGGCACATTTTTCTATGGACATTTTCCTAGTTATGAGACTGTCTAAAAACCAAAAACACTGACCATTTTTGGACTTTATTATGAATGGAAAGTACACATTTTATGCAATATGATTGATGCACTTTATGAAGTTTATTAGAATAGGCTTACTTTGTTTTGTTTTACATTAAAATGCTTTCAAATATTTAAAGCAGATTATAGATTAAATCATAGGTAAAATGTAATCCATGTAGAAATAAATAAAATTTTCCCACTGCAAATAGTTGGATCCAATTTATAACAAGGTAGAAAGCCCTCCACAGCTATTTTAGCTTTATATTGTTATTCAAATTACTTCTGGAATGCAGTATTCTCTCTTTTGCTTTTAGCATCTATAGATAAAAGAATACATCTCATAAAAGAGAAATAGCTTCCCCTCTTTGCTTCCAACAGAACCGACCATGTGTTACGATTTCTGTCATATCATTATACCACAGAAGCACACAAGGTCTTTAGTGATCAAAAGATTCATCATACAAGTGAACCGTTAGTATAGCCTGCAGATATTTTTAATTGCCTTTCAGTAATTAGCTGGCTATATACAGTATTTTATGGCTGGCTAGATCAGATATGTAACATAACTTAAGATGTTTGTTGACAGCAGAACCGTCAAACTATCTCCACAAACAACACACCTACAAACTGTATCTATTTGAGAAACCAGTATAAAAAATGACTAGGCTTGATCCTAAAGGTAGCCAAAGGAACATGGATATCCATCTCAAAATGCTTGTAATCTTGACAAGTTTTGACAAATTGGTCTATTTTGGGGATACGACAAACTGCTACAGCACCTCTCTGTTTTAGGAAGACTATTGGTCATTATAGTTTCATGCTTATGCTACACACCCATGAAAATGGATCTGAGTATTCAGTAAAAGGAAAAATCTTTCAGCCATTAACATCTAACCACACATATATAGACAAGTGAAACAAGCTTATTGGGCAAAAATGCAAAGATTTCCTTTCTAAAGCAGCTACATCCTAGTAGAAATAGTAGTGGGACCCATGCTCTCTGTGGGGAAGCAGATGAAGACCTCTGCAACACAGAGAGCAATGGTCCAATGTGTTGTTGTTCATTTGTTGTGCAACTGGCAGGCTGGTAGGTGGAGAGATAACTAGGAAGCAGAAATCCAACAGTCATTTATTTTCTATAGTCATATATTTTCTTTAGTCAGCCATCAGAAGGATGAGCGCTATGACCATGATTTCAGGGGGCAGGTGATTAGTGAACTATGGCCATGAAGGATGCTTACAACTATAAGAGTAAGGCAGGACATATACAGTATGTGGGGCATATGACAGATACCATCAGAAGCTAGACAGTATGAAACAAGCACTCTCTTCAATGCCACCTATTTCCTATTAAATTAGCATGATGCCATAGTGTGAAGACATCAGGCTGATTTTGAGTGACATCTTCCATTTGTCTAGGTTCTGATAATGGATGCACAATGTAAAAGACTTGCGAGGAGCATATGCAGAGCATACCCCGAGATTACAATGTTTCTCTAGAGTTCGGAGTCAAAACTAGCAAAATATCTTTATGATAACACACAATGCTGCATTTAAAACCTTCCTTTGGAAATCAAACCCATGCACGAACTTTCAGCTAATTAGTATAAAAAGTTTATTTTTCAATGTCAGTTTTATAAAACTACCTAAATGAATAGCAATGCTGAAAAGAGAAAATACTTACTGCATATAGTTTAATATCATGTTCCCAGTCATAGCATAAGCATTCACAAAGTAAATATTACTTTGCAAGAGCTTTACAAAAACAGTTAAATCTTTATGCCCAATTTGAATGCCTAGTTACTTGTATGAATAAAAACAGTTACCAAACAATGGCGAAATGTGGCTTTGTCCTTACCTGTGCAGGAATAATCATCAATTTTGATATATCCTGTTTGGCAAATGCACATGAAAGATCCTGGTGTATTAACACACGCAGTGTTTTCCCGACAGTAGTGACGTCCTTCTGCACACTCATCAATATCTATATATGTAACAGAAACAGGACATAGAATTAGTTACATAGCTCTTGCGCTACCACCCTTTTTTATATTTTATTATGTGTAACTATAAAAATATAGAGTAAAAATAAATTTTTAGGTAGCCTTTTGTGACATAGTTTGATTTCTAATACCATTGACTTCATAAATAACAAATTAAAAAACATACTACAATCAATATAATACATATTCCATAAACCGATATCATGCTAATGATTTGCTATCCCCACCCAGCACCTATTGGTTATCTATGTGTGAATGATACATTAATCAGTGTAGACTACATTACTATCATATAGTCATTTATTTGCTATATAGGCAGTAGAATGGAGATTTTTCTATGTGTTACTCGGATGTAATCTTCACTTCTTTTGGAGTATAATTGCAGCTGTCTTTATAAATGCAAGTGATGAGTATAGGTTTTGCAAGAACATGGCCATTAAAGTCTCCACTGGAACAGTGCACGAACACTATTCCCGTTCCCACATGGTTCTTTTACAGACTATTATATAGGATGATTGATTCTCTGGTACTTCCAATAAAATTATTCATACAGATTTTTATATTTCACAGAAGCACCCAAACCAAGTATAGAAACAAATGACAACTCATATTTTCTATTTGATACTGTACACAATGTATGTCAAAATCATCCAAGAAGCAAGTCTACATACACGTCAAATCCTAAGGGGCATTTCTAGGGGATGATTTTCTCACAGGTTGTATGCGCTTATACCCATAATGCCCAAAATCCAAACTAGACCCTATCTTCATTAACATATACCCAAATCAATAGTGGAAACATATAAAGTGCTCAACGGCATTACACAATAGGAAAAGGAAAGGAAACGGAAACGCACAGGAAACAATTTCCCTCTCCCCCATGAAGGCCAGCAGTGACAATAACTATACATTATACAATTATACATATATGGATATGGAACTTCACATGCTGATCCATTTCCCTGGTACAACTTTATTATGTGTTAACCACTTGAGTCCTCAAGCCTTTTGGGCATTAAATCCCCAGAGTAACAGAGTATTTCTCAGTTTTGCACATGATATCTTTTGGGTTTTGTAGACTAGATTTTATACATTGTTTTTTTGGGGCAGATAGGGCTTTCATTGGATAGAAAATAAAAAAGTGCATCTTCCCTTAAATTTTTCCAACACTGCCATAATTTGCACACATCCATATGTTTACCCCAAAATATAATCAACAAATCCATTGAATGTTATTCACTGTAGTGGACTGGTAAACCTCAAAGTTAGCGGATCAAATGGTACCAGGCCGCCCAAGGAACATTAAATTATTTCCATTTTATTTACTGTGGTGTATTTCTCTAGGGTTTGTCCGACTTTCCAGGACGAGAGGTTAACCGGGAGCTGAGAGACGTCACCTAAAGCCGCACCAATACCGCACATGCGCAAAATATTGTGATATCGGGGCGGTTTTAGGTGATGTCTGGAGCTGAGCGGCTGCAAGCGGCAGTGGCGTTGTAGCTTTGGTAAAGAGAAGGTGTGTATCGCTCTTCTCTCTGTTCACCGGTACTTTCTCATGTTTAACAGTGCTTGGTGTACGTGTATATTGTGTTTGCTCAAATTTAACCCACAAATTAGCAACAATGAGTACGAAACAGACGTCGTTAGAAAGTTTCCTTGGGAAAAAGAAAAGGCCCAGTGAAGAGACAGAAGAAGGGCCTTCAACATCAAAGAAACATATAACTTTTAACAGATAATACCATGAGTCCTACTTGAAATATGGCTTTATCAGGACAGGTGATTCCAATCTAAAATATAAACAATCAACGTCCCCCCTTCAGTGGGCTGTGGTAAAATTATCAAATGTTGACCGGTCCGCGGCGATAAAAAGATTGGGGAGCACTGATCTAGAACATCCAACATAAGTGTTGTGGCCTGGGAATTAATCTGGCAAGATAATATTTTTATTTGTAGGTTATCAATATATAAATATATTTTTATATGTATATACTGTATATTTATTTTTATCTTACAATTTTTTTATTACATTTTTTATGGGGAGTCTGGATCTTGTCAGTGGATACCTGATACAGAACCTTCATGCAGCTGTCAGGCAGTAGATCACTTCTAATAGTGATCTATTGGTGGCTACAATCAGCTGTGAATACACTACACTCCAGATGTAAACACAATGCAGAAGCATTTTACAATCGCTTCTGCAGTGCACCCCATAGGAGCATCAGAAGTCCAGGAGATGATTGTTTCAGTTCATGGGCTTAGCGTTGGCTTCTGGCTGTCAGAGTCACCCAGCGGTCCCAGTGCTTGTTCTAGCAGGGGGCCCCACCAGCGTCAAGGACTCCAGTGGTTAAAGAAAAACTCCATGAAAAAAAAATATAACCCTTGCAGTGCAACTACCCCAGCACTGCAAGGGTTAAGTGCTCATTTGTGTCTAGGTGCTAAAAAAGAGAGTTATACTCACCAGACCATCCAAGCCGGCTTGTTCTTAGACCGGTGTCAACACGCTCTATATATTGTGCATAGACAGTGTATAGATGTGAAGATGCTGAGGAACAGTTCATCTGTGCAGCAGAGGAGGAGACATGCTTCAGTGATCACAGAAGCAGGAAGCCATCTCCGAGGATCAGGTGAGTAAAACTATTTTTTTAGCACCTAGAGAAAAACAAGCACTTAACCCTTGCAGTGTGGGGCGTAGAGGTTCTTCTTTAAAGAGTGATTTGAGGCAACACGTGAAACCAAACAATGGGTAACCAAATGCTATTCAGCAAACATTACAACTTTGCTAGATATTAGAAAGTCCCATCCGTTTACATTAACCACTTGACATCCGCGGTGTTAAACCCCCTTCCCATCCAGGCCATTTTTCAGTATTCAGCGCTGCGGTACTTTGACATTTATTCCGTCATGCAGCGCTGTACTGAAATGAATTTTATTTTTTTGAGGGACAGATAGAGCTTTCTTTTGGTGGCATTTATTCACCACTGGGGGTTTTATTTTTTTAATATATTAAGGAAAAATTACCGAAATTTAAAAAAAAAACCAGTTTCCCCTATCTTAAATGATAAAACATTTAAAACATTTATTATTACCCAATTTTTTGGTAAAATATAAAAGATGGGGTCACTTCTAGGACCCCTAATATCACCTGTGGACCCCAAAAGAAGCTGATGAAGCAGAGATCTGCTTTATCAGCTTCTTCTCTCTGGCAATACCATCCAGATGACTGACAGGTGAATGCGGAAGTGATGTAACACACATCACTTCTGCATTCACAGCCCGGACGGGGATCAGCAAGGAGCTGATCTCCCGTCCTCCTCCTCCTGACGCCCTCGGAGCCGGTCCCGGGATCCAAGATGGGGCAGCGGATCCCGGGAATCAAGGTGAGGGGTCGGGGGGGGAAATATGTGCTCGCCGCGAACGAGCACATATAGGCGATCGGCGGGCTATGGACCCGCTGATCGCCTATATGTGTAACACCGGGTAACGGGTGTGTGCACTGATCGGGGCTTTTCTGCCCGTGCGTGCCCGCTAGGGGGCGCGCGCGAGCAGAAAAAAATTGCCGTCTGGAGACGGCAACCCGCAGATGCAGCAGTGCCGTCCGTCCGTTTTTTTACTACGGGCGGACGGCAAGAGGTTAAAATGAGTGCTTTGCAATACACAGCAGCAAGAAACCAGAGAGTACCTCACATAGTCACCGAGTGTGCATTACCCTGTGATGTGTATCTAACTTCTTTCTGTTTTCTGCCTCACCTATGACATTAGGACTTTTAAACCTAATTTTAATTGGTGGCTATGGGAAAGGTCTTGGTGCTGACTGGTTTACATCAGGCTCTTTGTATGCGAGAGTCAGCAAGGGGCATGTGGTAGGTGTTTGTGTGAATACTCCAACTTTATCACCAACAAGGGTTCTCAGATCACCATATTACTGTCAAAGGGGTATTTCATTGTAGTTTACTTAGTGGGTAGATTGTGCTCTTTATATGCATACCAATGATTGTAGTGCTGTTAAACCTATTTTTTTAGTCTTATAAGCTCCTATCCCCTTGTCAAGGAGACTGAACAGACTGGGGACAGGTAAATATAAGACTGGAGGGAAGGGTATGCTTAGAAAAATAGGTGTAACTGCACTAATAGCCTCAGGGCCATAAACCTATATGAATCCCTATAGCATAGTCACTGTATTTCCCTTCAGCTTCGAAGCCTTCATGTGTAAAGTAATATTACTACACAGACTTCTGCCATTCTAAAATAAGAATGAACAATGCATCTGCTATATTTTTTCATGTAAAACTGTTAGAGGTTCCTGAACTATCAACATATTTACAATAAAATAAAGGTGTCAAAATAAATCACTATGCAGCCTTGTTGTAACGTGTACAATAATAAAATAGTTATGTAACAGATTTCATTTAGTGTATGTCTCAATTTTTTGGTATTACTGGGTAAGTAGGAAAAAGGGTGGTAAACATGTTTCTTGCAGGGATAAGAATGTTTATGCTTTTGTTCTTCTATGCACATGTGAAGTTTGAGATAAGTCCAAATCTGTTTTTAATCCTAAAAAAAAGCTTTCATCAGTATATAAAATAGCCATCTGGAAGAGGAGGGAGAGATCTTTTTCTACACTGACAACTACATCATCTGACTGCTGAAGATAACACTGCTGATTTACGAATGGCAGTGAAATGACAACCACTTATTGGCATAATTGAAGCAAATCAAAGCCCAAAGCTTTGTCTGGTGGTCTTTATTTCACTAAGTCGGACAAAGTTTTTAATGCACAGGGTCTCCTGTGCTGTAGAACCAAAAGTGAATTTAGGGTGAAGGTACTCTAACGATAAGGAACTAATGATATGTAGCCCCATCGGTACACCTGTACACCTGTCAAAATTTGAGAACCAGCATCATACCACCTCATTCTCAGTAATGACTTCCTGGTATGAGAAAAAACATTTCTCTCTGGCTATAGCAGCCAGATGACTGACAG